TTAACTACAACATTGCACTTACTAAACTAAAATGTATTGTATGTTCCATTCAAGTTTCAGAATTTTCTATTGTTTTCTTGATTGATGTAGATTCGGTTATGATCCAGATGTTCTATTTTTGCCTGCAATGTGGTCCAACATCTGGGTGCCATCAACATTTTAAAGCAACTATTGGCTTTTATAGGAATTGCCAGTGAATATCACTTCTGATTACTGATACTCAGTTTGTATGAGTTTAATGGGTTTTCACAAAAAGTACTTTCTGTTTACTTTCTAAATGACTCTCAGTCATCTAGCATGTGCTTTAGGCTTACCACGCTCCAAATACAATCAGCAGCCCAAAATCCAAGAGCTATTAGCAAGTATAGGCAGCACAGTGTCCTCTAGATATTTGAACTATTCAGTATAACCCATTAAGGGAATTGTGGTCCAAACATCAGAAGATCATCAGGTTTTCTACTCACATATTAAAGGAGTAAATCACAGCTACCATTTGCATATCACTGAATGTTTACTTGGATTCAGTAATACTTTGGAGCTGAATCAGATTCTCATTTACAGGAGTAGCAACGGTGGAACTTTTAGATATGGACATATGTGTACTCTGGGCTGCCTGATTTGTGTGACTTTTTTCACTAGCTCCCCAGGTTACTTTAGGTTCCTAGGCCAGGATATGTTCCTACAGGGCTACCAAAAGTTGGTCTTTATCTTATCTCTGAGCAGGGACTTTGATTAAGAAGAAAGGACACGTCCAAAGTAACTCCAGTACAAAAGCCAGAAGAGCAGAAACAGGCTTGGTACATGTTAGATTGAACAAGAACTTTGCAGATGAGAAGGTTGCTAGTACTGTCCTGGGTCATATTCAGGGAAATTGGGATCTGGGGTCACATTGCAGAGGCATTTGGGGTGTCCAGCAGTGTCCATTGTGTTGAGTAACCACCTTATGCAGCCCTGGAATCAAAGAGTCTCAGCAACAATTAAACTTCATAGCCTTTATCTGTCAGATAAAGACTATGAAACATGGGACTTTGACAACAAAACCTGGATGGTTCTTCTGTTGGTCAGACTTCCATGACCAGTGATTAACTGTTTTAAATTACAAGGATAGATGTAACTTGAATATTTTTTCTTTGTCAGTTAGAAGTTTGCTATACACATGAAAACTTACATTCTGCTGTTCGTAGCTATCTGTGTTGAATGTACAGAAATATTCCACACCTACTTTGGGATAGACAAGCCATTTCTGGACAGCCGTTGTTCTCTACCAAAGTTGTCTTTGATAGGGGAAGCCTGTCTTCTGTGTCACTTTTTATGAAGCCATAAGCTATCTTTATTTTCCCTGCTGCTTCTGACCTGTCTGAGGTTTCTGATATTGTGAGAGGATGTAGACTGCAGGAAAAGGTAGATATAGAATCATTCTCTTCTTTTAACTTTATCCAAACTATGAAGTGAACAGTTGAGACCATATATAGCCTTCCATCTTCAGATGGATATATTGGGCTGGCTTGCTTCCTTCCTTCCTTCCTTCCTTCCTTCCTTCCTTCCTTCCTTCCTTCCTTCCTTCCTTCCTTCCTTCTTTTCTTTTCTTTTCTTTTCTTTCATGGCTGGGATTACATTAAAGTCTTCAACTGTGAACACTTTCTTTACTGGACACTTTACTTTTGGAAGGAGGGACAGTTGATGGGAGGCATTTTAACTATCAGGGCAGTTCCTTTTGTCTGCTTGAACCACTTCCTGTGATATAGGTGCACTCAGACCTTGCTGGGGGTAGTTGCTGCAGGGGACTTTACCTGAGTCGTCGTATAGTTGGCCAGCTTCTTCCACCTTCTTGTCAAGTGAAACCAAGGATTCTTACTGAAACTGAAGAAAGGCCAGAGCTATCAAGGACTGTGTAAAAAGCTCCTCGTGCACATTAGGATTTGCATTCCTTGAATAGCAGTTCTGCCATGATACCTAGCAATAGTACTAGGTAGAGAAGACAAGTTATAGGCAGCTGGTCTTAAGAGGGGACTGAGCCTTCCCAGCTCTTAGGCATACATGACAATAATGGTTTGGATGTTGACCAGACATGTCAGCCACCCCCGATGGGAACCGCTGACCAGGGCTCCAGAGGGAAAGTGGTGTCTGCCACTGAGGAAGTTTAGACAATGAAACCCTAAATGTCTGGAAGGAAGGAATATGTGCTCTACCTGACTGGGGTCCTCTTGGAGGAAGATGAGGATCATGAGGTTCACGATGGCTTTTCTCTAGGTAGCTATAAAACCTTTGACAAAGTGGGTGTGATTTTTTAAAAACCCCATTTCTGTACACAGCCTCTGAAATACAATAAGCTAAAATTCGTAAACATATTTTATGAAACCCATAAATATATATATGAAGTTATATATTCACATATAGCTTTATATAGTAGCATTGGTGTTTAATTTGCTTTTGTATTAATAAATGACTAATTGCTCAGATACATTCATTAATTTGTTGCTCACATTGCATTCCATTGTTTAGAATAATGGGAGAGCCGAACTGAATTTCTTGAAATGCATATTTGGGATTCCTGCAGAGCTTTAGTAGAATTGCTGAGCATATGAGATATCTTCAGCCTAGCTGAAAAATAAAAATCTTACATTCATTCAGCAATTAGTTTTCCAGCCAAAGCTCACTAAGGGCTGTTACAGTGAAAATCATAATAAGAGGTACTTAATTTGGGCAAGAGAAATTCAGCTTTCTTCATCTTGGGGGAGGGCGGTCCCGCTCTTTTTTTTTAGCGGCTTTTTCCATACCTTATAAGCCACGCAGACTCCCGCCCACCAGTCAAATGCTATATTCAGCCACAAATAAGATCCGTTTCTCCCAGTCGTGGTTGATGCTATCCTGGAAAGAGAAGAACTGAAGGGTGATGGAGCTGATAGGAGAGTTGTTATAGGGTGGTCACAAGACAGGGAACTCGTTTCGTTAGGGTTTATTCCCCTTCCCTCCCCCAAGGAACCCGCATCACCTTCGGCTCCTATGAGCAAAATGCACAGATTTTGTCCTCGCTTTAAAAGAGGCCCGTTCACTGGACTGGAGGATATGCATTGTCACTCTTAAGAGGTTTAAGCATTTCTGTATTTGTTGCAGCTTCTCCCATATTTCCCACCTTCCTCCTCCTGCAACATCCTTCCATTCTTCTAAGCAAGCAAGGGCTTGTTGTCAAACGGGACCAAACTGTGGCAGAAGAAGCGTTTCCAGTCCCTCGGGAGGTTTGGGGTAAATTGGCCAGTTTCCCAGAAGTCTCGTGTCTCTGTTGTAATCCAGAGTTCTTTGGTAGCAGGGGGGGGGGGGGGGGGGCTTTTTCAGTAGATGTGAAGTGCAACCTGTAAAGAGGAACACCGTTCATAAATAGGAAGTAGATTCATGAAATGTCTAGATTAACGTGCAGTTAACTGCTATGTAGGAATGCTGCATTTTAGAGAGAAACCTACTTTGTATTGTGCTATTTATATTTAGCTTGTATATTCCTAACAGCCTGGATCTCTCATCTTATTGGTTGACCATTTGTTTGCACCTAATTCAGTCCTGGGGCACGAGTGGAAATAAGTTAAAGACACCAATTTGTGTCTTAATGCACTAATTCATGCCTTAAACCACCACTGCCTGAAGACCGCATGTTTGGCCCACTTTCAGACCTGGCCCTTGTGCTCAGCAGCCAGCAGAAGTCTCACTGGGTCTATGGGGGAATGCTCCAGGAAACAAGACGTTTCTTAAGAAAAAGATGTCACATTATTTTCACTCCTGTTTGTTAGCAGACTCTCTAGATAGGTTCTGTCCCTGCCAGACGTTAACAATGAATAAAGAATTGTATTTTACTGGCTTTAATAAATTTTCTGTTTTTATTTTAATGAACCATAATATTATGTTAGTTTATGACTGCAATTTTGCACACTCTAAATTATTTGCATTTCTTTCAGTGGGACTTGCACTACTATACATTAGGAGTCACGCTGTTAATAGGATTTCAAATTACATTCCTCTTTTGCCATTTTGATGGAAATGAGTTAGTTTCTACTTTGGTTGCTCTTTCAATTTTAAATATTGATTGTGTTGCTAAATTCAGCAGAATATATCGGAAAGGAGCATTTTTTCAGGGTAGCAGCGATTACCGTGAATAAAATATTGCGGTAAAGTAGAGGGAAAATCTCCTTCAAACTAAGCAGCTTTCAACAGATGCAACAGAGCCTTGCATCACTCTAAAAAAGAGATTTCACTAAGGCCAAATGCAAAATACTGTGCATGCTTCATTACTAGGCAGAAAGCAAGCAAAACATCTGGCAAGAACTTCAGTTCAATCAGCTTCACTGTTTTGACCAGCAGAAACACTGCTTAAAAGCAAATAGCAAGCATTAAGGGTTGGCCACTGTTTGGGAACAGTTGCCGGGGGTGCAGGCAGGGAGGAACTCTCCAAGTCATTCCCATACTGAAGTCCTACAGGCACGCTTACCCAGAAACCGATGTTGCAACAGAATCTCCAGGACAGGTCTCAGTTACTGAGAAACTTTGCTTACGCCAAGTCGGTACGAGCCGGTAGCTTGTTTGGGTACTCTAAGCAGTTGCCCGATAGGTGCCTGCCTGTCTTCACTGGTATGTGCTTTTTTTAAAAAAAATTATTTAACGATTGAACAGCATTTACAGATATACAGCTATAGCTAGGCAGAGGCATGTACTATTCATTTCCCTCTTTTAAGAAGCATGTCAGCATACTCTGCTTGTCTGATGACGATGTTCATGATGATGATGATGTCTTCTTATAGTTCTTCAGCAAGGAACTGCTCATTTGCAGCTTTGTTCAGAAATATGCACCCCTGAGGAAACGTGGTTAGCTGTATTCCGAAGCACGAAGGCAGGCATAAGCGGCCTGTTGAATTTCACCACTTTTTCTGTGCTGAAAGTCATGGAGCGGCAGGGAAGCAACGTCTTGCCTTTCTGGTTTTGGTTTTGTCGCAGCCACATGTTTGCTTTGCTTTTAGATACAGGCAGCTGCAGCTCGGCACTGAAAACCAAGTGGCTGAACTTCTCCACCAGAGTAAACTCAAATCTTTTGAGAGCGAACGAGCGCAACTAATTCAAGAAGAGACCTCCAGGAACCTTTCGCAGTGTCAGCTGGAGTGCGAAAAATATCAGCGAAAACTAGAAGTATGTAAGAAAGCGGCTTTGGTGGGCTATCACACAGGTCACTTGATAATGAAATGATGTGGACAGGACCAAAGTTGTGCTTTTTCTTCTGGTATGTGGGTGGAAGATTCCTAAATCATATGAAGTTGAAGGGCAATTTTTAGTCGCAGATGAAAAACCCAGTGAGGCACTCTTAAGATTTTGCTTGTAGTCATTAGCTTAAAGGAGTTACAGCTGCATGCAAAGGTTGGGGCACCCTTGGTCAGCTTGTATGTTTCACTGAATCTCTAAGTGAACGTAAGATGACACACCCCTGACATGGGACAAAGTTAAGCACAATGCTTTTTGAAAAGAAAATAAATAAACATAGCAGGTGCAAGAGTTTGGACGCTCCCTTAGTCAGAACTTTGTAACAATCATATTGCAGCAGGTAGCAGCTCTGATGAGCCAACATCCCACACAAATACCTCATTTGAACAACAAACAGTATCTTCCATCACTTATTAAACTTCTCTTTTCCCCAGCATCGTTGAACAGGCCTCTGTGGAACAATAAGCCACTCAGAATGTTTGTTTTCATCTATCCATTTCTCCACTGGGGTGCTAATTCAATTAATAGAGTCTCTAACCTTTCTGGGCCAAATCCCTTGCCTCTTTGCCTACCTAGATCCTTGTATGATTGTTCTCATGCCACATTTGGACCCTGCACCCGTAACACGAACAGCCACTTTCTTATTTCTAGCACATTTTACTTTTGCAGCCCTAAGAAATAAATGGGAGGGGGGGTGGGAGTTGTGGAGGAGAACGTTTGCACACTCCTTGTACAACTTTACTGTGTTCACAGAGAGCGGGGGTTTATACTTAATAATGCTTTTTAATAGAGCCTGAGACAGTTAATCTAAGTTTACAGTTAAATAGGAGCTGAACTAAGCTTACAAATATTTGAATTGCACATATATTTATTCATTTCCTCAATAATTTATAGCTTTCTTAACTAACTTTCTTTCTAATTTTTGTAGGTATTAACAAAAGAATTTTATAGTCTCCAAGCAGTGAGTGAGAAAAGGATCTCAGAACTTCAGGTACAAAATTCTGATTACCAGGCAAGGCTTGACACGTATGAAAAACTGGAAAAAGAACTAGATGAGATAATAATGCAAACTGCAGAATGTAAGTCCTTTTAAATTACCCTTTATGATTCTGTCTTGGAATATATTTACAATCTAATGGCTGTTAACGAGATTTGTATCATTATAAATCCAGGAATGTTGAATACACATTCAACGTACAGCAGTATAATATGAATTAACATAAATATGTATTTTATTACATCTTAATTAGCAGCCTGAACATCTATCGCCTTTTGAATATCTCCTCTAAAATTACTCAGTGTTTTCTCTCTCTCTCTCTCTCTCTCTCTCTCTCTCTCTCTCTCTCTCACTCTCTCTCTCTCACTCTCTCTCACTCTCTCTCACTCTCTCTCACTCTCACTCTCACTCTCACTCTCTCTCTCTCTCACAAAAACTGATCCTTCGGGCATGTCAGATCTTGCTCTCTTTTTCATTTGTTATCTTTCTCCATAACTTCTTTTGGACAGTTTACTGTGAAAGTTGTTCCAGTAAAAGACACGTAGTGCCTGACTTCTGCAACAGTGTCTCTGATGGCAGTAAATTTTGGCTAAAGGATTTTCTCTATCAGCAACAGAGATGCCTGTTGCCGAAAGCAGTCCCAGCGCGTCTTGGACTGGGCGGGGGTGGGGGGGGGTATATTTGTGTGTGTGTTATGCATGGAATTCCTCTCCTATATATACAGCCCCAGACAAATAGGGATAGGAGGATCCATCTTGTGGGGAATCATCACTTCTGGTCTAGGCACCAACTTTGTTTCCTTCCTGCTATCTGATTCATAGACTTATTAGAACTTTGAGATTCTGATATTTAATTCTAAAGTCTCAGTTTGTTCTAAAATGGCAGCAAGAGATCAATAAGGATGGATGGATAGATGGATATTTTCGAATGAATTCCATAAACTTGGAGCAGGTTATAATGGATACTGATAAGATTAGACAAAAATAAACATTTCATTCTATCTTTTTTCCCTTCTGTTCTAACGTACACATTCATGGTTTTGCCTTTTACTTCAAGCCTTTCTGCGATTGAAATCTAGGTACAACATCATTAGTAGACATTTAAGTACTCAAATTCCTTCCAGAAACTCCCATTTTTGGTGGTCTCAGTGCAGACTAATAACATGTGCCCTGCCTCTGCACAGGATTTTGCTCAGGGAGCTGTCTAAAGCTAAGCTAGAGCTTTGGCAGGATCTTTACCTCAAATTCCACGAACTTGTCTAAAAAGATTTAACTCCTGTCTTATCACTCAGTTCTGCTTCAGCCAACAAAGCAGCAGCTATATTGTTCCATTACTTAGAATAAAAAGAGAGAGCAAAGGCATAAAGATTGAGGCATCCTTCTTAGTTATCTCAAGTTAGATATAAGATGATACGCTTTTTTGGCTATGGTCATTGACATGAACGTCATTCATCTTTCATGGGTAAGACTTTGGCAGAGGAGATTCTAGGAAAGAGGGAGGGAGTTATGGACACATCAGAAAGGCACCCAAAAGGATCTGGAGGACCAGGGATGCCTGCCTGGGTCCTTCAGCATGACAGTGTTGGCCAGCCCAAATCTAGTTTTATTTGTCCAGTGTCAAATCCAATGGCTCACAGAGAGATTCCTTGAGTGGGGTTGTGGACTTTATTCCATGGCCACTCTGGTTTTGATCATGACTTGCTGACCAGATGTCCTGAAAGACTCCCAGTGTTGGATTCCGTCTGCAGGCCTTCTGAATTTGAGAACTACTTCTCTGTTGAGTTTCCAAACGATTCATTTCAACCAACTAGACTTTGAATAGGATCCACCCTAGCTACCTAGAGGTCCTCTAAGTACCAGGCACAATGCTCGAAGGCTTCAGCCTGCCTTGGTTTCATCATTTGCATATGGGGTGCTGCTTGGTACTAAGCTCCAGCCCTGAGATTTCTCACATGGGCCTGCAGAACTGGGGCAATGAGCAAGTCTCGCTTACCTGGCCTGCCTTTGATCGTGCACTGAAGTAGGTGGTTGCAAGCAACATCTTACCTGCTGCAGTGACGGATGCGAAAGGCCTCTTTCTTAACAGCACTTGGCAGCTGCATTGTGTATTCTTCCTGATCATTCATAGGGATTGTTTACTTACCAATAAATAAATCATGGAAAGGGTATTCATGGAATGGAAAGGTATTTGTGGAATGTATACTTGTAATTCTTTCGTCATTTCTGCAGTCAGCTAACAGGAGGTTCATGTGCTATCTGAATAGTAAATAGATAGCCCTAAAATTGATATGTATGTCAGTTTTCTTGTTTTGAGAGGCTTTCTTATATTCTCAAACATTTCATTTTGGGCATGTGACTAGCTTTTTAGGAAACCTTTCATAATTGCTATATTTTCTTTGGGGTCATTGATAAAGGAATAATAACAATAATATCAACTAAATCAACAAAAGTGACAAACGTAAAACTTTGGCCACACAAGTTTTAATACAGGGTGGAGAAGTAGGTTAAGGTTTCAGTTATGCAGTCAAGATCCTAAACAACTTGGGATCCAGGTGCCTGTCAGATTACTTTGCCATGATTAGACCTGACCTGTGATTGTTATTATTATTTACAACAAAATAATTTGGGATACTTACAGTCTCTCTCCAATTTTCCCATCTTGAATTTCCATACTCATGTCTTATCTTTCATTTTTATCTACTAGAATTTTAACTAATTAGCTTAAACACCAGGTGAAATTTTTGTATGAAGGAAAGCTCTTTAAAAATAAATCTACCAAGAAAATCTATAATGTAATTTGAAAAAAAAAATACATATCATGAGCTTTGACAAAAAATGAAGAAACAATCCTGCCATAAAATGCAGTTTTTAAGATAAATTTCTGTTTTTAACATTACTTTTAAATATTGAGGCTGTGTGAGGTATTTGGAGGGTTGCTTTGTGAATCCTCCCTGGGGATGTGTCCCAGCTATTCTGAGCCACAAAACGCTTCCACCGCTGCTCCAAAGTGGACACCAAAAGTGTGGGCCACCCCCTTCCGGTGGCCTCAGAGCCTCTTGGAGGTCAGGAAGCTTAGTTGTAGCTCCCAAGAATTCAAATTTTTCCCATCCCTGACTGGGCCTTCAGACAGCCAGCAGCAGCTCTTGGGGGCTTCAGCTAGAGACCCCTGGAACTGAACTTGAGACCTCTTGCAGGCAGAGCTTGGCTGGACCCTGTTTTGACTCTTCCCAGACAGCAGCACTGCTTGGATTTCAAACCAGCAATGACATTTTATTTTAATCCCAGCAGACCCTCTGAAAATGTAGACCTTTTGATGACTAGAGCAGAGCAGTTGGACATAAAATGTCTAAACTAAGGTTCGGACAAAGCTATGACTTCACTGTCTGGTTTAGGGAAAATCACTTCATCAGGCCCAGCCCTCGTTTATAAAATGGGACAACTAATTAATCTCACTGGGCAATTGTTTGAATGCAGTCCAATACCAAGAGGTTTCTTAATTGCTTCAAAATTTCTATTTACTTCCTACCCTCTGCAAGATTAGTCTCCGCCAAGACAGTCATTTCTTTTCATATTATTACGGCACATATTGGATTACTGTGTATGTGTAAGTGAGAATAATAACCTTTAAGATTGAAAATATTCATAAATAATATGTAAATGTGTTCCATATTCATACCATTGGCTTTTTTATTTATCAAAAAGCTTATCAGAATCAGCTGTATTTATGTTCTACATGGGTCCCATATTTCTATGCATGCCTTCAAATCAAAGAGACTGCTGCCAAAAATATTTTGTCCTGTACATTTTGTACTTGTGATGATTATCCTCTTTACTGTGTATAATTATGCTATTGCATACGCTGCCAGGAAGAAAAAGAACACTCACTTCCAGGGCAAAATGGTGCTGGTTTTCTCCTTTGCAATGCATCTCTCTCTCACTCACACAAATGAACAGCTTTTCAAAGGGAAGCAGCACTCATAGTCTCTGAAACCACACAATAGCTCAGCCTCTTCGTCTTTTTCATTCTGTCGCAAAGGCGTGATGTGCCTCCACTGGAGAGCAGATTGTAAAAACTGACCAGCGTGCTGCTCCCTGGCAGAGTGGGTTCCCCTCCCACCTGCCCTGTTGAGACCAGTGGACAGGGCGTTCGCCAGAAGGCAGAGGCACCGGAGTTGTTAGCAGTTTTGCTCTCCTCTGTCCTGGTGCAAGCCTGGTGACCCCACATCTCTGTGTGATTGGTTTTTAGGTCGACTTTTTTCTTTACAATGAATGTCCCGAGTTTAAAATAAATCTCCATATATCAGGCCACATATGCAAAGTGTTTATTTCATTAACATACATTTTCAGTGTGTTGTTATTAACTAAGGATATGTGTGAAAACAGGAATAAACCACCATGTTCCAGAGATTCAGCCTGGTTTTGGATCAGCCACAGTTCAGCAGAACTGAAACCCAAAATGCTGCAGGTTTGGCACACTTTGGACGAAACAAAATTGGGACAGGGCAAGTAGGGCAAGGCTGGTGCCCCCCCCCCCGGCTACTTTACTTCTGTACGTTCCTTTCGC